TTTTTAAGCGCCAGAACGACGTCTTGGTCACGCATAAATAAGGTAGTGCACTTGAAGCAGAAACCGTTTTGCTATTTCGCTGATAGAGCCAGACGCAAGAGCTGCACCAAGATGAATAACACTTCAATGATTCCAAACAACGCTACTAACAACAGCCCAGGATATTATTGCACGTACGATGAACCTGACACACAGCTAGAGTATAATGCAAAACGCATCGCTCTGATACTGTTGATGGCATTAGGACTTGCAGGAAACATCTTTGTCATAGTACTCGCTGTGAAATACACAGTACGCAAGAACCTGCATCATTTGATCATCAACATGGCCGTGTCAGATACTCTCTACATTGTTATGATTCTGATAAATAGGATTGGCTGGCTATCGAACTACACATTATCGTTAACATATCCTGATGGTATCCTTGGTGATATTCTCTGCAAGACAAAGTTTTTTCTTCACCAAGTCTCATATAGAGTCTCCTTGGTTACTCTTTTGATAATCAGCATCGAACGATTCAGAGCAACAAGAAGAACATTGCAAAGGTCATGTGCTTACACATTAAGACAACGCGTTGCAGTAATCGGTATCTCCTGGTTGATTCCTATGACATTGGAGTCTTACAATTTGTATTACTTTAAATTTGATCCAGAATGGGGGTTTTGTACTGTTATGGAGTATAAAGTCTATTCTAAGTTTACTTCGATCTCTCTTTGTTTGAACATTATTTTTATGATTGTAATATTCGCACTTAGTATTTCAACAATAAGACGACTGTCCAGACCTCTTGCCATTCTCGCCCATCTCAACCAAGAACAAAGAAAAGCTCGAGCTCGTCGAACACAAGCAGCAGTACGAATGGTTCTTGCATCCGTAATGCTGTATACGAGTTGTTGGCTTCCATGGTTTATTTCTTTTAGTGTTCTTTTCAGCGTGGATGTTTGGGGTAATATCTGGATTCTCCCAGACTGTATTGACTTCATGTCATTTTTGTTTATCATCGGTACAATCTTCCCACTTTTCAACAGTTGTTTCAGTCCGTTTATTTATATCATATTTCTGTCTGACTTTCGAGAAGSAGCAAGGAAGGTTCTGTGTAGAAAAACCGACAGAAACGAGAACAGAAGAAACTCAATTGAACTGAGACAAATGCCAAATAATCCGCCATTAGAGGGGAGAAGAAGAAGAAGAAGATATTCCAATGACGAAGAAGAGCAACAAGTCTAAAATATAACTAGTGACGTGTTTGTCAAGCAATGCAGTAGAGTGAGAGTAACGATGTTGATATTCAAGAACATGATAAAACTGTTAACGAAGTAACTGTATAATACCAAAAAGTTACGTTATAACACCATGAGCCATGCAAACGGAACGTGAACATGCATAACCGAAGAACTTAAAACTCGGCGCTATTGAAGGAGATCGTCGTGCGGTGTCTAACTTCAGGAATTACATATCAACGTAGAAACTGGATAAACATTTGTAGCACTGAGAAAGCTTGCTATACATTACCGCAACAGAAAATAGTTAGTGAAACATTACTGATTGGACACGATATGATAATTGCAGAACGATTAGTTTCACGGTGTGCATTGTGTGCTACCGAAGAAGACAACTGTTAAACAGGAATTGACCACGTTGATCAAAATCGACATATATCAATATATAATTGAAACGGAGTGTCTAAACTTCAGGCAGTAGTTTTTTTTTTGTTTTTGTAAAAAAAATCGTCGGAGCAACTTTACTTTCAATTAATACAACAAGGGAAATGCAAGAAAGACCGAAATCAATACTCTTCGACAAGTTTCTAACACAAGCACGGCTCTTTGAGATTTTTCGACTGCCTGACGTAGACACTCCAAAATTTGAAAACGTTGAAAACTTAATACTGCACTCTAATAAGACCGAAGTACATTGTTGATGTAAAATGACAATTCTAAATGTGAATGCTTTACACTGAATTTCTTGACTATAGGAGCTTGTGTAGTCCTGAAACTTTTTACAACGTCCATAGAACAGCCAACAATGCATTCGGTCTTGGAAAACAAAATTTGAAAACTTTGAAAACTTAATACTGCACTCTAATCAGACCGAAGTACATTGTTGTTTTAAAATGACAATTCTTAATGTTAATGCTTTACACTGAATTTCTTGACTATAGGAGCTGGTAGTCCTGAAACTATTTACAACGTCGATAGAACAGCCAACAATGCATTCGGTCTTGCAATACACTATCTTCAGTATATAGCGTTTACTGAATTTGCAGTATAAGTCAAAGAAACAATCACGCTATCCCTACAGATTACTAAGCTCACAGAGACTTGTAGGGATGGCTAGGATGATAATAGATATCAGCAGTATAAAAACAACCAAAAAAGTATAAAATATGATCTAGAAATGGAAAAAAGATAGCATACTAGTTATAAAGGTTAAGTTTTATAGATATTGTTGTGCAAAGATAAGATCAACAATGATTATAATTGTAGTTTTTAAGCGTTAGAAATCAGAAATTCTTAGTTTTGACGGAAATTATTCCTGATTATTTTCATTTGAAAATAAGGTTTTGTAGTGCATGAAAAGTGAATTATGTACAATTTCTGATTAACTTTCGTTANTCATTATTTACAGCATCTAGTCAGTCCTTAACACAGCGAAAAACAGAAAAAATTAAAACAGCTACTCAAGTCTTGTGCCTGAAACGTGGCCATATGTTTGTGCTATGATGTGCAAGTCAACAATAGCTGCTAATTTGCTGAAAAAACATACTACTTAATTTCGCGATGCTTTCAAATGTAATTTCTGCTCTTGTGTTAGAATAAAATATAGCTCAGTCAAAACTTGCAAAGATTGAATTAGATCGAAAGACGCCAATAATTTACAGAATTCGGCTACTGGCTTGAATACCAGACGGTTGCATTAATTGACAGCTTGTTTTTTAAGCTCCACCACGACGTCTTGGTCAGGAATAAATAAGGTGGCGCAATTGAACCAGAAACAGTTTTGCTGCTTCGCTGATAGAGCCAGACGCAAGAGCTACACGAAGATGAATAACTCTTCACTGATACCAGACAACGCTACTAACAACAGCTCAGGATATTATTGCAAGTACTGGGAACGTGACACACAGCTAGAGTATAATGCAAAACGCATCGCTRTGATACTGTTGATGACATTGGGACTTGCAGGAAACATCTTTGTCGTAGTACTCGCTATGAAATACACAGTACGCAAGAACCTGCATCATTTGATCATCAACATGGCCGTGTCAGATTCTCTCTACATTGTTATGATTCTGATACATAGGATAAGGATTGGCTGGCTATCGAACCACACATTATCGTTAACATATCCTGATGGTATCCTTGGTGATATTCTCTGCAAGGCTGAGAGGTTTCTTTACCATGTCTCATATAGAGTCTCCTTGGTTACTCTTTTGATAATCAGCATCGAACGATTCAGAGCAACAAGAAGAACATTGCAAATGTCACGTGCTTACACATTAAGACAACGCGTTGCAGTAATCGGTATCTCCTGGTTGATTCCTATGACATTGGAGTCTTACAATTTGTATTACTTTAAATTGGATCCAGAATGGGGGTATTGTACTTTTATGGAGTTTAAAGTCTATATTAAGTTTACTTCGATCTCTTATTGTTTGAACGTTATTTTTGCGATTGTAATATTCGCACTTAGTATTACAACAATAAGACGACTGTCCAGAACTCTTGCCATCCACGCCCATCTCAACCAAGAACAGCGAAAAGCTCGAGCTCGTCGAACACAAGCAGCAGTACGAATGGTTCTGGCATCCGTAACGCTGTATACGTGTTGCTGGCTTCCATCGTTTATCTTTAATAGTGTTGTTTGGAGCGTGTCTGTTTGGGGCAATATCTGGATTCTCCCAGACTGTATTGACCGCAGGTCACTTTCGTTTATCATCGGTATATTCTTCTCTCTTTTCAACAGTTGTTTCAGTCCGTTTATTTATATCATATTTCTGTCTGACTTTCGAGAAGGAGCAAGGAAGGTACTGTGTAGAAAAACCGACAGAAACGAGAACAGAAGAAACTCAATGGAACTACGAGAAATGCCAAATAATCCGCCATTAGAGCCTGAGGCGAGAAGAAGAAGAAGATATTCCAATGACGAAGAAGAGCAACAAGTCTAAAATATAACTAGTGACGTGTTTACCAAGCAATACAATAGACTGAGAGTAACGATGTTGATATTCAAGAACATGACAAAACTGTTAACGAAGTAATTGTATAATGCAAGTTACGTCATAACCACCATGAGCCATGCAAACGGAACGTGAATATGCATAACRGAAGAACTTAAAACTCGTCGCTTTTGAAGGAGATCGTCGTGCGGTGTCTAACTTCAGAAATTACATATCAACGTAGAAACTGGATAAACATTTGTAGCACTGAGAAAGCTTGCTGTACATTACCCAACAGAAAATAGTTAGTGAAACATTACTGATTGGACACGATATGATAATTGCAGAACGATTAGTTTCACGGTGTGCATTGTGTGCTACCGAAGAAGACAACTGTTAAACAGGAATNTTGTACTGCTATGGAGTATAAAGTTTATTCTAAATTTACTTCGATCTTTTTATGTTTGGACGTTATTTTTATGATTGTAATATTCGCACTTAGTATTTTAACAATAAGACGACTGTCCAGACCTCTTGCCATTCACGCCCATCTCAACCAAGAACAAAGAAAAGCTCGAGCTCGTCGAACACAAGCAGCCGTACGAATGGTTCTTGCATCCGTAATGCTGTATATGTGTTGTTGGCTTCCAAGTTTTATTTATAATAGTGTTATTATGAGCGTGTCTGTTTGGGGTAATATATGGATTCTCCCAGACTGTATTGACTTCAGGTCACTTCAGTTTATCATCGGTTTTCTCTTCCCTCTTTTCAACAGTTGTTTCAGTCCGTTTATTTATATCATATTTCTGTCTGACTTTCGAGAAGGAGCAAGGAAGGTACTGTGTAGAAAAACCGACAGAAACGAGAACAGAAGAARCTCAATGGAACTGCGACAAATGGAAAACAATCCGCCATTAGAGCCTGAGGGGAGAAGAAGAAGAAGATATTCCAATGACGAAGAACCAGCAACAAGTCTAAAATATAACTAGTGACGTGTTTACCAAGCAATACAATAGACTGAGATCCTGAGAGCAACGATGTTGATATTCAAGACCTTGATAAAGCTGTTAACGAAGTAATCGTAGAATGCAAGTTACGTCATAATCACCATGAGTCATGCAAACGGAACGTGAATATGCATAACGGAAGAACTTAAAACTCGGCGCTTTTGAAGGAGATGGTCGTGCGGTGTTTAACTTCAGAAATTACATATCAACGTAGAAACTGGATAAACATTTGTAGAACTGAGAAAGCTTGCTGTACATTACCCAACAGAAAATAGTTAGTGAAACATTACTGATTGGACAAGAACTTTACTTTCAATTAATACAACAAGGGAAATGCAATAAAGACCGAAATCAATACTCTTCGACAAGTTTCAAACACAAGCACGGCATTTTGAGATTTTTCGACTGCCTGACGTAGACGCTCCACGAATTTGAAATGTTGAAAACTTAATACTGCACTATAATAAGACCGAAGTACATTGTTGTTGTAAAATGACAATTCTAAATGTTAATGCTTTACACTGAATTTCTTGACTATAGGAGCTTGTGTAGTCCTGAAACTATTTAAAACGTCGATAGAACAGCCAACAATGCATTCGGTCTTGCAATACACTATCTTCAGCATGTAAAGTGTACTGAAATTGCAGTATAAGTCAAAGGAACAATCACGCTATCCCTACAGATTACTAAGCTCACAGAGACTCGTAGGGATAGCTAGGATAATAATAGATATCAGCTGTATATAAACGACCAAAAAAAGTATAAAATATGATCTAGAAATGGAAAAGGATAGCATACTAGTTATAAAGGTTGAGTTTTATAGATATTGTTGTGCAAAGATAAGATCAACAATGATTATAATTGTAGTTTTTCAGTTAGAAATCAGAAATTCATAGTTTTGACGGAAATTATTCCTGATTATTTTCATTTGAAAATAAGGTTTTGTAGTGCATGGAAAAGTGAATTATGTACAATTTCTGATTAATTTTC